GAACATTTTAAATATCCTATCTGTTGTTTGAGGAACCAGTGTAGTTGATAATGTAAATATTACACTATAATTGTCTTAAGCTATACTATTAATTCATGCAAATATTACTCAAATTGTCTTAAGCTATACTGTTAATTAATGCAAATTTTAATCAAATTGTTTTAAGCTACACTGTTAATTAATGTAAATATTAATCTATAATTGTCTTAAGCTATACTGTTAATTAATGCAAATATTAATCAAATTGTCTTAAGCTATACTGTTAATTAATGCAAATATTAATCAAATTGTCTTAAGCTATACTGTTAATTAATGTAAATATTAATCTATAATTGTCTTAAGCTATACTGTTAATTAATGCAAATATTAATCAAATTGTCTTAAGCTATACTGTTAATTATTGTAAATATTAATCTATAATTGTCTTAAGCTATACTGTTAATTAGTGTAAATATTAATCTATAATTGTCTTAAGTTATACTGTTAATTAATATAATTATTAATCAAATTGTCTTAAGCTATACTGTTAACAGTTAGTTATTCACTGAAATTACCAATAAATCTGCTGGGCCTAACAAATAAAGCTAGTTATTCACATAAATTACCCCTGAATCTGTTGGGCCTAACAAAGAATGGCTAACTACTCAAATAAATTACCTCTGAATCTGTTGAGCCTAACAAAGAACAGTTAGTTATTTACATAAATTACCCCTGAATCTGTTGAGCCTAACAAAGAACAGTTAGTTATTCACATAAATTACCCCTGAATCTGTTGAGCCTAACAAAGAATGGCTAACTACTCAAATAAATTACCACTGAATCTGTTGGGCCTAACAAAGAACAGCTTGTTACTTGCAGAAATTACCTCTAAATGAAAAATGTGACAAAAATCGTGCAATCAAGTGTTTTTTTTTCTAGTTTTGTTAGACTTAAAAATTGTCAATGCAAGCATTTTACTTAATTAAAATAACTCATTCAATATCGCTCTTTAATAGTGTAAATAAAATAGATATTCTTAAACCTGAGATTTATTTTTATAAATTGGAAAAGGTGTTTCTGGAATGAATAAGTAAACACATTTTCCCTATAAATAATCAAATATAATTCTAACAATTAATTTTAATAGACATGCCTTCTAATGGTTTGTTGTTGGTGCTCAGTAAAGTACCTTTTTTAAGGGATCTGTTGTTGGAGCTAAGTACAGTAAATCTTTGTTTCTGTTAGATTAACACAAATCATAAATTGTAAGTAATTGTTGGAGTTAGTATAAACAATTAGCCAACCTAACCCTTTACCTCAACTAAAATAACTGAATTAAAAGAATTATTCATGCACATTTTAAAAATTTAGTTTGTATTTATTTATTTGAGATATACATGAATAACATGCTTTTCAGGGTGCAAACACATTTTAGACACAAAAATATGGACATATCCCACTTAAGAACACATTCCAAGTCCAAGATTCTACAAATAATTTTGAAACCTATAATTAATATCTTAAGCAGTACTTAACTCTCACTAGCCTCGAGAAAGGACTGGGACACATATACTCCATGGGTAATGAAAAGATTAATAAGTGTTTAGGTAACTTGACCTACCTAGTCTCCTTTTCTAAAACAATATAATAATTTATATACCTGGATTAGGCTGTTTATTATCTCATTACATCCGACAAATTTTATGAGTCATTCATTTAATTTCAGAAGTATCTGTCATTTAAATTCAATCCTTTATTTATTAAAAGTAAAATCATTGTTCTGTTCTTTATTTTAATTCTCTACATAAAAAGTAAAATTTTAATGATCAATTATTCTCAATTTAAAGTACTATAAATCATTTTCCTGCAGTAATTTATGTTTTTCTTCAAACAATAGGTGATGCATCTTTTATCACTTTGTTTAGCTGTCAATAATCCGTTGATAACTGTGAATTTTGAAGACACTGCAACTCCATGATCTAGGTACAATGTAGTCTAAATAAGGATGCTGAAATAGAGAAAATAAATTAATTCTTTGTATTACCATACAAATAAACAATCTTTGATCATATCTTATCCCAAAGTACAAAAAAACATACCACATATGAAGGACAGTTGTTGGCTCTAGCATACCATTCCATACTGTACAACATGATTAGGAAACCCCAGCCCATAAAGAGGGACATCCACAAGAACACATTCCAACCTGATGATGTTCGGCGTCTTGTCAGGAAAACAACCAATACTGAAAACAAAATATGTTAGTAAGTACTATTATTTATATAATGTACAAGATAAGTTACAAAATCAGTACGAAAATGATACCAGAGCATGCCACTAAAGCAACTGTTCAGTGTTGTAATCATCAGTTTTAATTACTGTCCTGAAAATGGTATTGAATACTGCAACACATCAGATGTCCCCAGGAATTATAAAATTTCTCTAATGATGTAATTGTTCAGTTGAGTGATGGCTGCTGGATTAGTGATAGATACACATTTTCAGGAAGCCCGGTAACCAAATTCTAAGAACCTGTTCCTCACCAGTAGTCTTTGGGAATGTCATTCCAAAGTTATAATTTTCTTATACTGAAAATGTATTTCCGATAAGTACTTACCTCCTCTAACAAGATTAGCTATTCTCGTTCAGTGCTGCCCTCTCTATATATATGAACTTTTTCTTTATGCATGCCACAAGCCTCCCCCCCACCTGTTGAAATTACTATATTCTAACATGTCTCTCATGTAAATCATCATGCGTTATCTCTTAACCAATAGTAACATGATATGTTCACGTGATGCATGTGGTTCCCTTTACCAAACCTTCACTTCGAAGTTTGGCAGAAGGTGTGAGCACCAGAGAAGTGGGGGAGGAAGGGTGGGAAGTGTGAGAGGAGGTAAGTACTTATTGGAAATACACTTGCAGTATAGAAAAATTATAACTTTTGATATGGTACTTACCTCCATTCAACGATTAGCTAGAATCCCACATTGAGAAGAAGGAAGGACAGGCGCAAGGGAATGAAAGAAGTACTCTAGAAAGTGTCCGAAGGATACCCATGACAATGAGAGAGATAGATCCGAAGGTCAGAAGAGGGGAGCTGCACCAGTTATCGAACCACTTCTTACAGATGCTGATAGGTCACGGGATCTCGAGGAGGAGGGAAGGAGATGAGGCCAGGTAAAATGGAAGGTAGGGCAAGAAACTGGATAAAGAATCCTTCTGATAGAACCTGTATTACTCATTGATCATCTATGAAGGAACGCCAGTGAGGAAGAAGCTCTTATAGTCATGCTCCCATCAGAACCGAACACACAGGGTAGTCACCAGTACTGTTGGTGACGGAGGTTGTGTCATCGAGGAAATCGATGAAAAGTACCCCAATTAGAAGGAACATGTAACGGTTGGGAGGATGAAAGACAGGAAAAGAGAATAGGTGGCATATGAGGCTCTGCCCGAGATAAAATGGGCTACAAAAGTTATGAGAGTTGATTTTTGGTGGACCAATGTCACCCAAGGCTCGATAGTTTCTGGGACTGTATTACAGACATAACATCTCAGAAAAGGTGCAAGACGTAAATCCCTCAGATAGGTTGAGGGTTAAATTGACCTGAGCCAAAACTGCGTCCCGACCTATAAGGTCCCAACAACAGAAAAACCACATATGTAATGACAGAGCCGAAGAAGAAATGTGGGCTAAGGTGGAGGAGAAAAGTGTAAAGGTATCTGCAGAAAACCTCTCTGGATTTCCGTGGAGATCCTCTGATAGGAGATGAGTAGAAGAAAGATACCATAAAACGTTAGTTAGGGTAAGACATAGGCAAGAATATTGGGCATGGGTAGACTAACATTAGATTTTGGAGCTGCCTCCCAAAGAGGTAATAATGAACCTAACAACTGCTGATATAAAAATGAATAATCTGAACGATGGTAAGAAAGGGCAAACTGATCAGAAGTCATCAGTGGGTGTGGCGTGCTGATTCCCTCACTTAATTGGAAGACAAATTGATCTGCATATACCCAAATATCTGGGAGGGAGGAAAATCCAAAAATGGTTGGGAAGCTTGTTCATGTAACAAGGAACGACGAATGGAATAAGAGATAGGGGAGAGGAAGAAAACATCACAAACCTGAGACACAAAATCTGTAAAGCCTGAAACAGGCCTAGATGATTCTCAGACTGTAAATGGGGAGGAACAGCGGGGAACTCAGGAGGTGGGGAAAAGACGATCAAAATCCTCATCATACTGAACAAGATCAGCTGACTCAGGAGGAGCTTGGGTGATGTCAGGGGAAAAAGATTGACCCATGTAGCACTCAAGCTCCCAGCATATAAAAGCAGAGATCCACCATCGGGTCACCCGCACCTGAGGCCTGAGAAGAAACATTGGTCATTGGTGTGACCCCCGAAGTGGTAACATGAAATTCGGAATTCATAGCACAAGAAAAGGTTCACAAAAGTCGAGTGCAGAAATAGAGCAACAAGAAGGAACTGGTATAAAATATAATAAAATCAAAAGGAACCACTTCGTGTAAAAAAAAAATTGTTTGTCACATTGGAAGCACTAGGCACACAACAGAGTACATCTTAATTCAAATGCTGCCAAATGAGAAGTAAAGGTTCTGTAGAGGGAGTCACATGAGCATATCATGCTTCTATTGGTTAAGAGATGATGCATGATGATTTACATGAAAGACATCTTGGAATATAGTAATTTCAACAGGGGGGGGGGGAGCAGAAGGCTTGTGGCATGCATTAAGAAAACGTTTGCATATATAAGGCAGCATTGAAGGAGAATAGCTAATATTGTGATGGAGGTAAGTACTGAATCGGAAGTTATAATTTTCCTATACTGAAAATATTGTGTGTATATTACATGTTTTGCCCAACAAACTCTTCAAAATACCCATACCAACTGTATAATAATTCTATATTATCTCAGATGGTAATATGGAATATCTACTAAAATAAAAAGTAGAAGCACTATTTCTATATTTTTATAATCAGAGCTTCAACTGAATAGAAGAAACAAACTTTTACTGTATTGAGTACGTTACATTAAAATGATTTTTGAGTCTCACCGCATTGTTTCAGTCCATATTGTCACATGTTCTTTCTGATGACCATACATTTTGACAATATTCTTGCAAAGTAGTTTCCATTGCAAAATCCTTTGTCATAAGGCTCTCATATTCAAAATACACCTCTCCTTCCTTCAAACTTTCCATAATTATTCAGTCACATAGAAATCCTGGATAAGAAAGAGTAGTGAGCTCCCATTACATTCTCCAGCTGCTTGAGGTATGTGACAGTTGAACAAATATGTCTTGGAAGCTTTTTCAAATACAGTTCCTTCGTTATTATGTTGCACGCTGTTGACTAGGATACATGGAGAGATTTTGCCACTGACCTTTGTGTTTATGGATTCTCATCTGTTACAAAATGCTGCACTTTGTTTACTACAATTGAAGTTCAACTTGTTACAGGTCTCTTTTTGGATGATCCATATTCCTTTGTTTTCAAATGCCATTAAGTCTAAGGGATATCCCTGTTTTGGAAATTCTAAATGTCTAATCTAAACACAATTTTATGATCTTCATATATAAATATTCTGCATCAAAAAGGGCTAGTACATAATCTTCCCAAAAGTGATCAATGTTTGGTGACATCACGCTATTTATGTAATGCCAAACATTGTCAAAGTATAATTTTGATACATCATGTTTTACCATGACTTTATATCAGCTGTGGTTGCCACGTGAATTACTGATTTTCATATTCAAAATCAATTTAATATAACATACTCAATAGCTGGTTTTGAATACATATCACAGGATTGTACATTTTGCTATTACATATTGTTGTACAATTTTGTACAGATTTAAACACACCTATTATGTTGAAATAATAACACAACTTCACTACAATTAAATTTGTTCTAAATACTTGTATAATATTGTTGCATTATTCTAGTCTCTGTTTATTTGATTGTCTTTTAACTTATTTGATACTTTTATTCTGTATTTTAATTACTTTTTATAGAATCTTTAAACTTGCAATAGATTCATTCCATGGGAATCAAAGTTTAATGATGAACAACAAGACGACGACAGCAACAACGAACATTTGACAAGTGTATGTTCAGTATCAAACATTTAAGTCATGAATGTTTTGGAATATACATATTCCATCTTCAGCAATCTATATTGAACATAGTAAATTATTAGGTACAGATATTTTATAAATTTTAAACATTCTATAAAAAGTAATTTAAATACAGAAAAAAGTATGAAATATATTAAAAGACAGACAAATAAACAGAGAATAAAATAATGCAACGATATTATACAAGTACTTAGAACAGACTTATTTGTAGTGAAGTTGAGTTATTATTTAAAGTTGAGAATTCATTTATAATAGATAAACTTTTTTGAATTAAAAGTTTAAATGTTAAAACTTTATAAAATGTCTATAACTACTAATTTACCATGTTCAATATAGATCATGGAAGATGGAATATGTATATTCCAAAACGTTCAAGAATTAAATGTTTGTTACTGAACCCACATATGTCAAATGTACGTTGTTGCTGCCGTCCTCCTGTTGTTCATCAATAAACTATTATAATTTGTAGTTAGCTTTGATAAATCATAAAGAGTCCACATATTTGAAGTATACAAAGTAATTTTTAAATTAGGAGCACATACGTATTTACAAGATTTCAACAACTAAGTTTGAGTGATTTTATAGAGTACAATAACTTATTAACAGAAAGTGTAATGAAACTATACCACCAAAACTGCTGAATAGAATGAATAGCACAGGATACAAGAAGCGGAAAGTCAATGCAAGAATGTACTCATGAACAATGGCTGACACCAAGAATACGATAACCATGGCTGAGCTGCGTCCTAAAACCTGTATAAAAGTAGAATATTTAACAAACATGAAATAAATTATGACAGAATTAAATGTTCACAAGCCACACCATATGAGTAATAGTTTTTGATATTCTGCTCAACAGAAGACACCACAATCACCATTTATACAAATCATAATATATTAAAATTTTGTTCATCTTATTCATTTGTTAAGAAATACTTATAATGAGCTACAGCACTTCAGATAGTACAGTATTACACTTTTGTACAAACGACTGAGTTGAAAAATTAGCTACAGTAACACCTTTTGAATTGTACTTTCTGATACTGGCATTACACATTTGTGTTTACAGAAGCAATTAACCAACTGTGGAACATAAAAAAAGTGATTTTATATTTTTAGAGGAGGAAGAAATTTTAGTGCATTGTTCCTTGTTTCTGTTATTTTATCAATATACTGGTACGCTAGCAAGTTGTTTTCACAAGAAATTATCAGTATTTTAAAACAAATGATGTAAATCTCTTATAGTTTATTTCTAAAAGCAAATCAAGGTTCTTGGTATAAAGATGTTTAATTTGCATCATAATTTCAATAATAAATGTTAAATCATTATTTAGGCCACAAAACTTTAGACTAACCCTATGTAGTATATTATAAATTGGATGCTGTTTTAACTACTAATGTTACCCAAATCATGGCATCCCCTGGGGGACAGCAGTAAGTCTATGGACTTACAACTCAAAAACCCAGGGTTTATTTTCCCATGCTGGACACAGCAAATAATCCAATGTAGCTTTGCTGTAATACTAATAAACAAACAAACCAAATAATGACTAAAAAACATTTGGAGAAAAAAAAAATCAGACATTTAGATGAATATCATAATATGGATAACAATAGTATTTGAATTAGAATTGTAAACCGAAACAATAAAACCAGAAGGCCACATCTTTTCCCTTTTTTTTACCCAACTTTCTAAGGAGTAATCTCAGGATTTCAAAACCTACCCACAACACAGATATTTCAACTTGCCTCATAATTCTACCTAATTAATACTAGCTTAGCTTGTAGTCTAGTTATAATGGGCTATAGAAGTTTAAATCATACTTTTTTCAAATTACTGTACTACAGAAAAGTTATAATTTCATTGCAGAAAATAAAATATTACATTTTTAACCATAAAAGAATATTTGATGTAACCTATCATGAAATAAAATGAACTAGGTAAATATAGTAACACAGAGTGACTGACCACCTTAAATATATACTAATAACTGGTGTACATGGCTAATCCGTACAGTTTGCATGCACATGCATATTCTGAGACACACAAGAAGGAAAGGGGACAGAATTCCTCTGAATTTTCCAGGTTTTGGTACAATGTTTCCAATTTTCTTTGACTTTTTGACCCCTTATTTTTAAAATCCTGACTTTTCCGGTTTCCCAGATTGGTAGCCACGTTGAATCTTGATAAAAAGAAAAATCTTAAAATCCAGTTCTACTTAGTTTTCAGATTATTTTTTAACTTTAGATTAAAAAGATAACCAAAAGTTGATCTGTTGATTACTGGAAATGATAAGGTGATTTAGTCATTAGCATTTTAATTATGACTATTTTCTATTATATCTAGTCATTGCATACAAAATCAACTTGGTTAATGCAAATAAGACTGCATTTAAATTTTCCACTATTCTCATGGGAAAATTCTAAGATAAGAAAAAATATCTATATATACGATCAATGATCGTAATATACAAAAGTTTCAAAGAAAGAATCTATAACCATTATCTTGACAAAATTGATATTATGTTAACTAAATTTAGAACCAGCTTAGAAGGTAGGCAAAAAAGACCAGGACAACAAGAAATTAAGAAGTGATAGTAAAATAAAAAAACAGAAAATTACAGTTTGAATGAAGTAAAAATTGAAATGAAAGAAGAAACATAAGAGAGAAGAAGACAGGAAAAATAAAGACTCCTGTTGAGGGGAAGAGGAACATTGAATAAAAAAAAAACATTGTAAAGTTTGCAGTGTTGAAAGCAGTAGGGAGGCATTGCATACCATTTAATGCATCCTGAGCCATGGCTTGTGCTTTGTTATTATTATAGTAAGTTTAGATTTGTATGGAGGTGCAAGGGGCACCTGTCAGGAACAAAGTAAATTTAAGAAAAGTCCCTCCCTTCCTTACTAGAAGGTTCTAAAACAGTAGTTATCAAACTTTAGTAGCCCAAGGAACCTTTTTAATATAAAATGTTTTTGCACATCCCCTCCCAAAACAAACAAAATACTTTATGGTATTGTTGTGTCAGCAAGGTCACGTGACTAGTGTCACGCCACTCATTCTCTCGAACCTTCGGGAATTGTCGGAAGATTACTAGATATAGGGTAGTCTGGTATATATAAGATGGTGACAACGTGACGGGAATGTGTGTAGGT